TCTTGTAAGGATGGTCTGGCTTTAACAAATTCTCTTAATTTCTGCTTATCTGGAAATTTCCTAATTTCACCATCATATTTGAGGGACAATTTTGCTGGGTACATAATCCTTGGTTGGCGATTTTTCTTTTTCAGGGCTTTATATATACCATCCCATTGTCTCCTTGCCTGCATGGTTTCTGTCGAGAAATCCGAGCTTAGTCTTATTGGTTGCCCCTTGTAGATAACTTTTCATTTTTCCCATGCTGGTCTCATGATTCTTTTTTTGTCTTTAGTTTTGGTACAGTTGATGAGGATATGTTTGGGTGATTTTCTTTTGGGGTTTATTGGACATCCTGAATGGACATATTCTCATCTTTTATCATACCAGGAAAATTCTCTTCCAACAAATCTTTGACAATTTTCTCCGTGGTTTTTTTTTTGTCTCTTTCTGTTCTGGAATTCTGATTACATATAGGTTATTCCTTTTGATGGTATCCCACATGAACCTTTGGCTTTCTTCATTTTGTTTTGCTCTTTTTTCTGATTTATCCCTTTCCAAAGACGTGTTCAGATATTTGCCTTCAATCTCACTAATTCTTTCTTCCATCGATTCAACTCTGCTCCTTTGCCCATTCAATGTCTCACCTATTTCTGAAAATTCATATTAATCTTGTCTTCCTGTGTGTAGATTTTGTATCATTTCTAATTTTTCATTTATTTTGTCATTTTGTTCTTGTATTATCTTTTGAAATTTTTCTAGGGTTTTCTCTGTGTTTTCCTTGATCTGTCTCTCAATTCGTTGAAGATACCTAAATATAATCCTTTTGAATTCCTTATCAGGGAATTCTAATGCTGCGTCTTCATCAGGGATATGTTTTGGGTCTGTATCCTGGTCTCTTGTCTGTCCTGCTTTATTTTGCTTCTTTGTGTGGACTGTGATGCTCTGTTTTCTCTGAGGCATTGTGATGTTTTTTGTGTTTATATTTAATTGGTGATTGTATGTTGGAGTAACTTGCCTATGATTTCATTTTCTTTGTTTTGTTTGTGTTATCTACACAAGCAGGGTACTGTGCTCCTCTATTCACTAGTTGACAGCACCTATACACTCACCACCTGTCTCCTTTCCTGTTGTCAGCCTCTCATATGTCCCTGCCAACCTTGGCAAACAGAACCTATTCTTAGGTCCCTGGAATCTGAACGAGAATGCTATCATTTTAAATGGTTGCCACTTGTAAAGATTCAAAATGGCTGTGCCCTTGGTCACTTTAAATATTCAAAATGGCTGCTGCATGTAAACAATCGAAATGGCTGCACCCTCCGGACAGTGGAAGGTCAATAGCTCAGCTTGTCTCCCTCCTTGCTGTTTCCCTTCCTAGTCATAGGCCACCAGCACAGTTGTCCCTGCAGCCCTTGGTGACCAGGGCTGATCTTTAGGTCAATTCTCTTTAGGTCCCAACACTACTTGGAAATATTCAGGCTGTTGGTCCCATCAGCGTAAATGACAGTCCGCAGCTCCAACCGTCTCTATGCTCACTGTTTTTGTTCAGACTTTTCCACTAGTTGGTGCCTAATCCACTTCTGTATAGTTCCTTTCAAAGTTCAGGGCTCCAGGATTATCTTCTATATCCCTGTCCACTGGTTTTTCTTTTCTTTGTTGAAGAGGGTCTGTGTCACTTGTCTACCTATTCCTCCATCTTATCAGAAGTCCTCCTTGATTATTCTGATGAGGTAATGGGGTATAAACTCTTAAATAGTTATCACAGTGAATGCAGAAGCAAGTAATTAATTTCCTAGTATTCAACTATATGAGAGGAGCCTTGGTGGCTGTGGTAGTTAAGTTTATGTGTCAACTTGGCTGGCCTTGGTTGAGTGGCTGGGCAGCTGGATGTAGTATTCCCCATGATGAGACTGGTAATCAACTCCATGGTAGTATCTACTGTGAGCATCTGAGGAGCTGCCTAGGGATGTGTCTGCTTCCTGTATATAAGGAGAAGTCTTGGGGAATGGTCTCTAGCTTATGGCATGCTTGGACCCTGCATGTAGCCGTGTTGTTGTTCAGCAGCCTGTCATGTTCTGCTGACCTTGGGACTTACAATGGACTTGAATTAATGGCCTGCTGTGTGGTTTGGTAACATAGGATTGTGCCATTTTATTTTTTGACCTTGGGCTTGTTAGCCTCAGCAGTCAGTAGCTGCCTGAGTAAAGAGATGCCTCTAGCTTCAGTGCGCCAGCAGCAAGAAGCAGAGCTAAAGCCCAAGGTTGAGGGGCTTTCACACAGCCCCTAGAACCTGGCACTTTGAAGTCAGACTTCTAGCCTCCTGAACTGTAAGAGAATAAACTGCTGTTTGGTAAGGCCATCCCATTTGTGGTATATTCCTGTTAAGAGTGGCACTAGGTAACCAGAACAGTGACACAGTGGTTAAAGCACTTGGCAGCTAACTGAAAGGTCAGCAGTTTGAACCCATCAGCTGCTCCATGGGAGAAAGATGTAGCAGTTTGCTTCTAATTTACAGCCTTGGAAACCTTACAAGGCAGTTCTGCTCTGTTCTACAGGGTTACTATGAATTGGAATTGACTCGATGGTTATGGGTTTTTGTTATTTGTTTTTAACTATATGAACATTATTTATATTTTATAATGACATACAATTCCTTTAAGATTTAAAATTATTTTCCAGGCAAATATTCCTCTCATTTTATATTGGACAAAATGAGTCTCAGAACTTACTGAAGTGTGTTAAAAATAGGCCAGCATTTTTTTTTTTTAAATTTTGAAGTCAATAGAAGTGGATATTTACCACAACAGTCAAAAGGTAGAAACAACCTACAAGTCTTTCTACAGATGAATGGATAAGCAAAATGTGGTATATACACAGATAAACATGCATACAATAAAATATTATTCAGTCACAAAGAAAAATGAAGTCCTGATACATGCTACAATATAGATGAACCCTGAAAACATTATGCTGAATGAAAGAAGTCAGTCACAAAAGGACAAATATAATAAGATCCCACTTATATGAAATATCTATAATATGCATGTATAGAGACCAAAGTTTATTAGTGGTTAGTGGGAGGGAGAGGGCATAGGATAATCACTTTTTAAGGGCACTGACTTTCTGTTAATGGTGATGGATTAATTTGGAAATGGATAGTGGTGCTGGTTGCACATGAGAAATCTAATCAATGCCAATGACTATACAAATAAAAAAATGTTGAATTGTTTTGCAAATGGAAAATGGTTATATATCTTTTTGGTACAATAAATTAAAAAATAGATATTTACATGAGAAACCAATCCTTCCTTTCAGGTATCTTTCAATTCTAAGCAATATGATCATTTCCTTGTTAGGTTTCTGTCTGAATCTTCCAGCAAAAGACCTTGGAAATGTGATAGGTTTATCTTCTTACCACCAAATGTACATCCAGTCCAATTTTTAGCTGTCCTTTCCTTTTGCCAGCCCCTTGTTAAGCATATGCCACAATTCCCAAATATTTCTTAAGATACCCAATATGAAGCAAACAGACAAACTAAGATACTGGGCTTACCTGTTGAAGTAACAAGTGACTACGGCCCCAGTGATAGTCATTTGCTGGCATGCGAGGATGAATTCGCTCGTCCAGATGAGGCCGATCAAATGGTACCACCACATATACCGAATGCCTGAAAGAGGCTTATATTCCACTTGGCCACCTTCAATGACCTGGGCAGCTCCTAAATTTTAAAACACAAACATATTTTATACCAATGTTTTCCTAAGCAAAAGACTGGAAGATGAGTCAACAGCCTTCGCTTCTTCATGCTTGGCTTTCCGCCTTACGTGGAACATAGATGCCGACGTGAAGTATGATGTACCCACCAGAATTCAAAATCTCCAGGACAAAAACTAAGAGCTGAGAGCACACATTCGACTTGTAAACAACACCAACAACAATAAGTGCAGTGATGGATTTGTAGCCAATCTGCAAGGCATTTCATGTATACTCTAATATGATTGTGAGGATGGTGCAACATCACACGGTGTTTCAGTCTGTTGTACACAGGGTCGCTGTGAGTCTGAACAGCACCTACCAACAACAACTAATACTGACACTAGTCCTGAATCATAGACTGGAGGTTTGGAAAAATCAATCACTCTGGTAAATAATCACTGCTTATTAGTAGTAGAAGGAAAGTACAAACTTGGAATATAAACCCAAGCATACCAGATTCTAAAACCCATGCAGTTGAGTCCATTCTGATTCCTACCAACCCTATAAGATACAGCAGAACTGCCTCAGAAGGTTTTCAAGGCTGTAAATCTTTACAAGCAGACTGCCACATCTTTCTGCCATGGACCATCTGGTGGGTTTGAACTAGTGACCTTTTGGTTAGCAGTTGAGTGCTTAACCACTAAACTACCAGGGCGCCACAAAGCTGTCAGGATTGTGTTATACAAACCTACTTCACCAGACATTTAGACTTTGTAAAAGAGACAGGGATCTTCATTTTTCCAAAGAGATTCACCTCATATTTTATTTAAAGAACAAGCTCTCTTAGCATATTTAAACTGTCTATTGGCCCTCAGTGTTAACCCTCCTAATTTAAAACCTCAGCTTCACCTCTTCCTGCCTGGCTTGGGACAGGCCCCCTGGCTGCTAGTTTTAGTATCTTCATCTGTAATATGGAGGTAATATGGAGGTGTGGGATGGAATGAGATTACCTGGTTAGTGCCTAGTATAAGGCCTGACTCATGCAGTATCACTCCATATGTGATGACGTTAATTATTGTTATTAAATTTCAGGAGCTTAGTACTGTATCAAACTGAGGTGGGCAGGGCGGCCCTAATAGTGTGCTGCCATTCACGTGGCTGTTCCAGGCTTCTTCTTCCTTTGTCCAAAGAAGCCCTTGAATTAGGTCTGCAGACACTTGTAAATTCAAATCCCAGACTCTGTGGCAGCATTTGATTTCTAGATGTCTTCCTGCTACAGATGTTTAAATAATTTATTTATGTCCTGGTGGTGCAGTTAAACACTTGCTGCTAACCGAAAGGTCGATGGTTTGAACCCACCAACCACTCCGCAGGAGAAAGTTGTAGCAGTCTGCTTCCATAAAGATTTACAGCCTAGGAAACCTATGGGGCAGTTCTGCTTTGTCCTAAGGGGTTGCTATGAGACAGAATCAACTCAATGGCAGTGGGTTCATTTAAAATAATTTACTGTAAGTAAGAGGATGAGCACTCTGGTCATTGGAGACACAACTTGTACAATTAAAGATAGTTTCATATTTCCTGTCATGGCTATAAATTGATTTTAGTTTATCAGTCATCCATTTTTAGACATTCATAATAGGATCTGTGTGCACAGGAAGTGGGAGAAGATAATCATGCTGTAGAGTAAAACTGACTCCACAGACTAAAGCTGGTCTTAATTCCTTCTGCTCTAAGTTCTGCTGAACAAGAGTCACATTGTGAGAAATAGTGGAGCAGCTTGATTTACAGAGAGAAGTTAATATTTTATCCAACACCAGGCTCATTCTGGCTTGCAGGCAATCTTTCAGGTAAGGCACTGATAAGTAGTTATGCTTTTCCAAAGTAGGCATGTTTCAGAAAAAACATTCCTAATTCCAAAGGAGTTGACCCTTCAAAAGTAGAACACATGTTGAAGTTGATGTGGACAGTGGAGACTTTGAGAAGTACTCTCTGGGACATCAGAAGTGCTACAGGCCAGCGGACAAGCACACTGCTCCTCCTCCAAGGCCCATGAGTCTGTGAGATAGATTACAGAGTCACAACATCACGCATGGTTTGACGTTTCCACAGAATAGGAAAGATGGTTTCCTTAGACACAGACAAAAGGCGTGTACAAAGGGTCTGGATGGTCAGGGAGAACCTTTGCTCTTCCCTGTGTCCCTGTGCTGTCAACAATGCACACTCACACACATCCTAGCTCAGCACACTGGGGCAATGGTCAGCGAGTGGAGCAGCTAAAATGGTAAGTCAAGATCCACTTAGGCCTTGAGACCTGTGGCATTCCCTGAAGAACCAATTAGGTTATCACGGAGTTGTTGCTGGACCTCCTTATGGAAGCCATCGTCTACTCATTCCTCTGGTTCAGTTATTCCAGACTGCTGAGATCTGCCTTTAGAGCAAGATTTCTCAGCCTCAGCAATGATTGACATTTTGGACTAGATAATTCTCTTTGCTATGGGGGACTGGCCTCTGATGGCATACTGCCTAAGGCATTTGACTACTAACCAGAAAGCTGGTGGATCAAACCACTCCTTGGAAGGAAGATTGGGCAATATACTTCCGTAGAGATTGTCCAACCTTCCTTCCGAGGAGTGGCTGGTGGGTTTGAACCACCAGCTTTCTGGTTAGCAGTCAAATGCCTTAGGTGCTATGCCACCAGATTTGCCTCCATAGAGATACTGTCTCAGAAACCCAAAAGAGTTGCTATGAGTCAAATCGACCCTATGGCAGTGAGGGTTTGTTTTTTTTTTTTTTTTTTGGCCTGTGTATTGTAGGATGTTTTGTAGCATTCCTGCATCCCCTCTCCTAGCTATAAGCAAATATGTTTCTATACATTGTCAAATATTCCCAGGGGCAGGGGATAGTCGCCCTGGTTGAGAATCACCGCTTTAACATTCTCCCAAGAATCAGGTGCCTTGTTTAGGGTGAAAACCTGGAAACAGAAATCTGAGATAGTCACCAGCCCATGGATGAGGGCGGGCCTGCTTATGCACCTGACTGCCCTCTCCTGGATGGCTGGGTCAGTGCAGGCATGATCTTCTCAACCAACCAAGCTCTTTTTACTGTTGTTATGTGCTGTCAACCCGACTCATAGTGACCCCTCCTTGTGTTTTCAAGGCGGTATCACTACGGAAGTAGATTGCCCAAGCTTCTTTCCAAGGAGGGGCTGGTGGGTTTGAACCACCAGCCGTCTGGTTAGCAGTCAAGTGCCTTAGGCACTATACTACTAGAGCTCCTTCTTTGTTACTATGGACTAAAAAGAGTGTGACGCTAAAGGATGTTGATGGGAACTGGACTCCAGAAAGGTCCCAAGATAGGACAGATCTCAGGGATGGTAGTGGGAAGAGCACTAAACTTGGAGAAGACTTTTGTTCCAGTTTCAGCTTTGACATGTGTGACAAGCAATCTGGATTTCAGATGGCTCACAGTAAGATGAAGAGGGTGGACAAGACAAAGTCTGTGGCAGGTCATAGTCTTGGGCTTGAGAGTCACATTAGACAGAGATTCATATCTCCACAATGCCCCCTACTGGCTGATCAACCTCAGGCAACTGGTGGAGCCTTTCTAAGTCTGTTTCATCCTATAATCTGAGCATATTGATACTAATACTAATACTTCTCACTCCTTGGTGTAAATGCCATACACACAGCTGTTGAGAGGACTAAATGAGCAGGGTACTTAGAAAGTGCCTGACATACGTAAGTGCCGTAGAGAGTTAGAGATGCAGAGGGAAAGTTACCAGTTAGAGTCTGCCCAGAGGTGCCTTGGTGGTTTACTTCTGAAAAAATCAGCCACTAAAAACCTTATGGAGCACAGTTCTATTCCGACACATAGGGTGGTCACAAAGTCAGAGTTGACTTGACGGCAACTGGTTTTATAAATGAGATATAATTAGATACCATTCTAGTTCTGAAATCTACTTAAATATTTATCAAGCATCTACTGCATGCCAGCATTATGTTGGACATTAGCTATTGGGGAGAAAAATGAAAGAAGAAAAAAAAAGTCAGAAAAAAATACCATCTGAGTGACAGTCAGGACCTCACATGTTCCCATCTACATATCTCCCCTTCTTCGGGACAACTGCTTTATAATTTTCCTTCCATCCTCCAGGAGCTTCTTTCTCATCCTCATTTGCAGCCAAGGACCATACTTCCTGCTTCTCTGAGGAAGTCGAAGCTATCAGAAAACCTCTGCTAGTGCCTGCCCCCAAATCAACTCTCTAGCTGTGTGTGTCTGTAATTTCTCCATGCCCTTATTATGATAAACTGTCCATCATCCTAAGGCCAACCCCTCCACTCGATCCCACACTTTCTCATCTACTTAAGGGTATCTTCCTCAACAAAATAATCCTATTAAATCATTCTTAACCATCTCCATTAAAAACAAAACAAAAAAAATCTACTCTGGACTTTCTTTTCACCTTCAGCTTCCTCCCCATTTCTCTGTTCCTCTTAATAGCCAAATTCCTACAGGTTTTCTAGACTTGCTTTTCCTAATTCTTTTCCTTAAATTTTCTCTTAAACCCAACTCAATCAAGATCTCCACCTCCCTCACGTCTCTGAAACTGTTTTTATCATCTCCTTGTTGCTAAATACAATGGTAAATCCTTAGTCCATCTCTTACTTCCCAGTGGTACTTGACACGCTGGCTCATTCATATTTCCTTGAAGTCCTTTCTTCCCTTGGATTCCAGACACTGCACTCTTTCGCCTCCTACCCACTGGTGGCTCTTTTTAGTTTCCTTTGTTTGTTCTTCCTTACCTCCATGGATTTCTTCTCTTTACTCTCTGTTGTTGTTAGGTGCCCATGAGTCAATTTCTGACTTATAGTGACCCCATGTGACAGAGCAGAACTTCCCCATAGGGTTTTCTAGGCTGGAGTGGAGAAGGACCTTATGCTTGGTAAAGCAGAGAGAGGGTCAGCAAAAAGAGAAAGAACCCCAATGAGATGAATTGACACAGTGGTTGTCATAACGGGCTCA